GGCTGTCCTGGAACTCACTCTGTAGACCAGGCTGGCCTCGAACTCAGAGACCTGCCTCTGCCTCTAGAGTGCTGGGATGGAAGGTGTGCACCACAACCAGCTTGACTTCTTTGATTTTTGATGCCTTGCATCTGTACAGCAGTCCACAGGTGTGCCTGGGTTGGCTTCTGAGTTCTTTGCTGTTTCCACTTGTCTGCTTGCCTGCTTGTATTCTCTTCTCCTGTAAGCCATCTCATATCTTATTATCTGTGAGAGCAGATGCCCTTTGCCAAATTCATATTCCCAGGAATTCCACTTTTCAGAGGTTACGTTATAGATTTACTTGAATGAGGCAAACTGATGTTTATACTGGTTTACTTGCTAAGAATGATGTAACAGCCAAAATTTGGAAAAAAATCAAAACTTAAAAAAAAAAAAAAACAGACCAACAGTGGAATACTACATTGTGCTAAAAACAAGGTGAAAAGTTATCTATACTCTCTAGAAAGTCCTTGAAGACCTGACTGAGAAAAGTAAGGTACAGAATATTGTATATAATATGCTTATTTTTGAGGGATGAGGAGGCAAAATGCATATTCAAATCTATTTGTGTAAATGTAAGGCCATTCTGGAAGGACAGAAGGAAGGACAGACTCACAAGAAGCTGAGACCTGTGGTTTCTGTGGGGTTTTGAGAACCCAGACAGCAGAGCAGCGAGGATGGGGAGCCGGCATCTCCCCGCCCACATTTGTATTAGAACTGCATGAATCCATACATTTTCCAAAGCAGCCAAGGGCTTGGGCCCCTTGGCCCATAGCAGAGATACTGCTTAACAGGCCTAAGGACTTGGGATTCGTTTCAGCACTGGAAAAAAAAAAAAAAAGTAGCCTACAAATAAGGAAAGCAATGACTTCATGAACATTCTCCTCCATGTGAAAGTTAAATCTGTGGAAGCAGATGTTTTCCCTGCCTGTATGTCTGTGCATACATGCCTAGTGCCCAAGGAGGTCAAAAAAAGGGGCCTCAGGTCCCCTACAACTGGAGTCACTCACAGATGGTCATGAGCCACCATGTGGATGCTGGGAATCAACCTCCAGGTCCTCTGCGAGAACAGCCAGTGCTCTTAAACACAGAGCCACCTCTCCAGCCCCTTTTATTCTGTTTTATTTGTGGTGCTGAGGATGGGGACCAGGGCTCTGTGCATGCTGGGCAAATGTTCAACTACAGTGCTACATGCCCAGGCCAGTTAATTTTTAAACTTGGAGCACACAGAACCACCTAGTCCACTTTGTGTGTGTGTTTGCCAGCTTGCGTCTGTGGGGAGGAGGCGGGGGAAGAATTGCAAAACTGCAAACCGTGGTAACTTCTGTCCCTGAGTGAGGACACCCTCAAGTCCAGAGGCAGGCCGAGCTTCCTCACCCACCTGGTGGCCTATCGGCTTAACTACAGGCAGGGTAGTTAGAAATCAGCTGCCACAAAGCCAAACCCTACCAGCCCAGTAGGGTTCGCCTTGAAAACTTGTTTGCTTGGCTTTGCTCAATGTCTGCCACATGTTTTGTCCTGAAGGATCATAGGTTCCAAATTAGGAGAGTCAAAAGTAATGAGACTTTCCATCAATAAGCCTGAGAATAGAAAGATGGAAAAATCTACTAATTATAGACCAGCCAGCCACCGAATCACAACTTGGATCCAGGCAGGCCTCTGGGAAGAGGGAGATAAGATGGAAGCAGGGAAGAGCCCAGAGGGACCGACCTGTGGGACCATTCTTCCTGTGCCTCTGTCTTGCCCCTGGACTTGGGGACTCAGCACCCAGTGCTTCCTGCCTCCAAAGCTCCCCTCCCGGGACAGGCCGTGCCAGGGCTGGCTTCTGAGAACTATGTAAGTCTTCAGGCCAAATTCCTGGAACCTCCAGAATAAGGCCCAGTGTGGAGGTGGGGGCCTATTTTCTGCTTAGTTCTGGGAAGCAGTTGGAGGGGGAGGGTGGCGGAGGGGTAAAAAGCAGCAGACCAAATGCCCGTTATACCCGCCTGTCGATTTCCTTTTTCATCTCTTTATCAGTGTTTGTAAGGGAGCTTCTTATCAACAGGAAACGCCTGCCTGAAGGGATGAGGCAGGTCCAGGGGGATTGGACGCCAAAGACTAGGAATTCTGGGTAGTGCCTTGCTGCTGATCGGCTTGGCTGAGTTGCCTTGGGATTTCCAGGATCCAGACTCATTGCCCTGGTATCCAGTGAAGGCGGAATGTACATTCCAACAGGAACACCAGGCTAGAGTGTCTCCAGGAGGGAGCCCTGAGAGGAGCTCCAGCCCAGAGCCTCAGTGACCAAGGACAAGTCACTATAAAGTGAGAATTGTCTTTTCTTAAGCTCTGCCAGTCTCCCTCCCTCCTGGAGGAGAGGGGCAAACACCAGCCAAGGTCATGAGGAGCTTGGTGACATCTGTCCCAATCAGCCCTTTTGGGTGTTTGCCTCTGAGCTCTTAGGTTGGTACTAGTGAAGGATATAGCCATGGGACAGGCTCAGCCAGGGGACAGGCAGGCGCTCGCTCACCATAGACTTGCTGCTGGAGGGAGGAGGGACTAACTTCTTTCCAGACATCAGATGCTTTAGAGAGATCCGTCACCACCTGGGCATGGTGACATGCTAGTAACCTTAGTACTTGGGGAGCTGAGGCAGGATGGTGGAGAGTGTGAGGCCAGCCTGGTCACTGTAGGGAGGAAAGGTTAAGTTCTAAACTCTGTCTTGAAAAACAAAAATCAGCAAATTAGGACTCTGGTCGCTCAGAGGGGGCCTCCAGGAGAGTGGCTGGCTGAAGGTTAGATTCGTTGCCCTAACATGATTATCTGGAGGCAAGCAAGGCTTGCTGGATGGCTCAAGCCCAGGTTAATCTATTTATCTATCTTGCTGTCTTCCTCCTCCTCCTCCTCCTCCTCCTCCTCCTGAACTGTCAGAAGGCTGAACATTCAGACTGGCAGGTTCTGGTAGCAGAGGCCGGAGAGGAGCCAGGGTACCTGAACCCTGTCCTTCATCTGCTGCTGTGGTTGCCCTTGAGCAACCAGCCGGGCTGTGGGTGATGGAGGTGATAAGAGCTCTGGCTTCTCCCTGGACGGCCCTCCCCCGCCCCCGTGTGCTCCTGCAGTGAGATGTAGGTCAGTAAGAGTGGGTGGGTGAGAAAGAACAGAAAAGAAACTCAACTCGACATGACACCCCTCAGGGCAGCGGTGGCAGCACTTGAACCTGGAAACTGCCTGAAAATAGACAGTGTGTCTATGACATTATGTGTCTATGACATTATGCAAATTGATGCAAAGTCAAGAAGCCCTCTGTCTCTATTTCTAGCAAACTGAATGCGGCCCTGGTGGAGGCAGCTTGTTCCAAAAGTCGCCCACCCGGAGCTACCAGAGTCCCATCCCCGGGACACTGGACTGAGCACACACCCACCCCCACACCCTACCTCAGGGTGGGCTTTCAAAGCATGCAGATTTTGCCGTCTCTTGGGCTGCTAATCATTTCTTTGTTCGTCTGTTGCCCGGGCTGGTCTCTGAAATAATTTTTTAGCTGAGGATAATCTTGAAATCCTGATCTTCCTCCCTCCACCTCCCAAGTGCTGGGATTGCAGGTGTGCACCATCAAGCCTGGCTTTGGGATGTTGGTTTTAAGGTGAGGGGTAAGCCAGAGGAAGCAGGGCACCTTCCCTACAGGCTAGTGTGAGGCCGGAAGGAAAGAGCTGTCCACGAGGGCCTGGGTACCAAGGGGCCTCGGCAGAGGAAGAGTTGAGCCTCAATATCAGCGCTACGCTGTCGGGGCCCCACACCTCCACTCCTGTCGTGCTGGAGCACCCTCACTTTTCATATGGAATAAGGGAGTTGTTGGCTGGGGTTCCCCCCGAGGAAATCAGGGCAAAAAAGCAAAGAGGACCTCCGGGTTCTCTTCTTTCCAAGGCAGTAATGGGGATGATGTGTATGTGGCCAAGAGCTTGGGCCACAGTGACCTCGCAAGGACTCTCCTAACAGCATGGTGAAGGGTGGGTCCTGCCAGGTCCTGCCCAGCCTACATGGAAGCCCCGCACTGCCCTCTTCCCACTACCTTTTTCCCAGTCCTCAACCACACTGTGCCCATCTGGGGGCCAGTGGGGCCGCCGAGCCTCGTGGGCTCTGGAGGAAGGAAAAAGTGGAATTCTAGGAACGCTTTTAGCATCCCCGTCGTCTAGGGGCTTCCTCCAGAGTCCTCTGGGTAGGTCTTGCCTGGTGTGTGTGCAGAAGGCTGCAGGTTTGGGCCCACGTGGAGGCACGCGGAGTACACCAAATTGTCTACCGCAGAAGGAACTAGGGCACCCTCCCTGTTTGCCTGAGAGAGGTTCAACACCCTCTCGTTAGAAAGTTTGCATTCCTGGGCTGGACAGTACCAAGAGGCTCCTTCAGTCTCTGTCCTCATGCCGCTCACCATTTCCCGTGCGGGGCGGGAGGGGGCACGAGGTCCTATCTGAGCTGGGATAGGTTTCCAGGTAAGGGGCGCTTTTCACTGTAGGGGTGTGGGCTGATTCCAGGCACGGGGTGGAGAGCATCTGAGGAGGGCATTAAGAAGGAACTGAGCAGGGAGGAGCGAAGCTGCCTCTGAGTAAGGACGCAAAGAGCTCCCTGGCTAGGTGTGGTTTCCAGGCGCAGTCCCCGCCGCCGCCGTGAACAGCTGAGCGCAGGCACGCACGCAAGCACGCACGCTGCGGCCGGCTGCTGGGAGGAGCCAGCCGGCTCCGGGAAGGGCGCGGGGCGGCCTCGGGCAGCGCGGTGGCCAGCAGAGGGCGACGTGACCGGTGTGGCTCAGGCTGCTCCCCACCCGGGCTGGGATCTCAAGTCTGAGCCTCAGCGCGGTTCTAGGTAAGGGAGCCTTCCAGAGCGGCCTTATCCAAGGGCGATTTGGTGATGTGTGCTTTGGGACCCTCTACTTCCCGTGCCCTCGGGTTCTCTCTGGACCTCTGCAGCTGGACCACTTCGGAGATACTAGCCTTAGAAGACGAAGCAGGGACTCAGGGGTCAACTACGGTTTATTGAGGACCTACTACATGCGTGTGGCCGGCTAAGTGTGCCCCGTAAACTGTATCTCTAAGTACAGAAAGGTGGGTTCCACCCGCACACCTGCACTTAGAAGCATCTGGAGACAGTTGTCTCTGGAGAGCCCCCTGTCCTTTCCACGCACGCACGTCCCCTGTCACTCAAACCCCTCCCTCAGATGCTCTCCACTTAGGATTTCCGAGGCCTGGAGGAGCTGGCTGTGGAGTCCAAAGATGAATTTGTTCCCAAGTCCAGTAGAAATAAAAATCCTTCAGGCAGGAAGGCGATTCCCTGGCTCCAGTGACCAGAGAGAGTCATCCGACGGGGCCCCGCTGGTCTGGGAAACGCTGGTCTACTTTCTGTTTTCATCTGGTTTCAGTTCCTGGTTTCTCCTTGGTCCCTGTACATGCCGAGATAGGCTTGAGAAACAGTAGTGGGGGGGGGGGGACACACAACAGAGGCACCCACGGTGTCACAGTGTCACGGTGTGTGTGTGTGTGTGTGTGTGTGTGTGTGTATGTGTGTGTGTGTGTGTGTGTGTGTGTAGCGGGGCTAGCCGTCCTTTCCCCCTGCGATCATGGCCGAGGGTTTCTAGCCAGGCCTTCCTAAGATTGAGGATGATCTTAGGCCTGAGTCCCCCACGCTCCTCCTCAAGCCTTGTCTACAGCCCACTTCTCCTCAGTCTGTCTGCCAGGCTTCAGTGTCACTTGTTCAGCACATGGGTGTAGACCCTTCACATTTCTAAATGCCAGGCTTTTGATGTTTTCCTAGGCCAAGTTCTCCTGAGGTACACTTTCCGAAGCCTGGCCTAGGGTGTGGGCTTCGGCCAGAGTCAAGGCCAGGAGGGAGCAGAACCCTGGTAGCTGGAGACGTCTTGACAGGAGCCAAATTTTCTTTTCAGCCTTGGAGAGCCCAGAGGAAGCCACCCCTGAGCCCTGAGACAAAGAAGGCCAAGCCACAGAGGGAATCAGGGGGTCCAGTGCTGCCTGAGTCCCAGGGGGGGCCCAAGTATAGCTCCAGGCCAGAACGGGGGGTTGGGGAGTCGACCAGGAGGCCTTAGGCTGTCCTGGACTCAGTTATTCCAAACCCCAGCAAACGAAAGGGGAGGGGCCATTGACAAGGGTCCTGGGCTGAGCTTCCGTGAAAATCGGGGTCAGAGAAGCCTCAACGGACACCAGGGCCAAGTCTAAGATCCCAAGACAGCCAGGTCCCTCTCCTGTTGAACGGGGCGACGCTGGCTCTCCTCTCCTCCGCCTTCCTTCTCCTCACAGGACCCTTGGGTCTCGACACCCTAACAAGACAGCTCGGATGGTAAAGGAGCAGAGGGTAGCGGGGTCCGACGCCACCTCTCCTGAGAGACTGGCATTCACCAGCCAGGACGACTGAAAGGCATCGTGGAAGTGATAAGAACCCACAGTGGGAAACTGAGGCCTCGGCATCTTCCCCTGGGCCCGGGCAGGATGGAGTGTCTGCCGAAGTCAGACGACCCCCGTGCCATCCTGGCTGCTCCGGTGGGTCAGTAAGGTTGACCCAGGGTAGGGGACAGTGCAAGCCCAGCATCTGGGCCCGGGATTCCCTGGCTTGGCTACCCTGCCCTGGGAGTGGTAGGGGTGTACCCTGCTGGCCTTGGGGCCGGGGAGCCCAGCCAGGCGTCAGAGAGCCGGCCACTCTGAGCAGGCCAGACGAAAGCCGATCGAATTTCAGCCCAGCTGTATTTTTGGCTGGATGGGCCGGGGGCCAAGCTGGGCAGGCAGGCACACACAGGGCCGCGTGCACACTCACACCACCTCTACCCAGCAGACAGGGTACGTCTGCTGCCCCACCACACACTTCAGGCGGAGGAAGTCCAGTGAGCCTAGGCTAGTGAGTCACTTTGGGTTTCTCCGGATGGTGGCTAAGCTTTTGCAACGTCTTCTTGATGCGCAGCGCAGTGAGGCGGGCAGAGGGGTTGGGGTACCAGCACTCCCGCATCATCTGGGCCAGCCCGGAGAGGACCTGGGGGTGAGAGGCAGGCGGAGGAGAGGAACATCAGTCAGGAGGATGGAAAGGGGGCACAGGGTGAGGAGGCCATGGCTTAGGACGGGAGACACAGCAGGAGAAAAGCCAGGATGGGCGAGTGTTGGACAGGACAGAGGGAGAAGGGAAGGGTGAGGAGGGACGGACAGACGGAAGGGATGGACAGACAGAAGGGATGGACAGACGGAAGGGATGGACAGACGGAAGGAGGGAGAGGGAGCGTGCGAAGGGTGGTGGCAGACGGCAAGCAGGGGAGAGCAGGGGAGGAGGTGGAGGTTCGAGCCTGGTGAGCAGCCTCCGTGGAGCACCTGGCTCCACGCCCACCTCTTGCAGCATCCACTGCGAAGGGTGTTTCTGGAAGCCTGAGACCTGGTGCACAGGGTACTGTGACTGTGAGTGGGGCAATGGTGGGCACTGCCCCCAAAGGGCCTCTGTCCAGAAGGAGCCTATCCCCAAAGCTCAGTGGCCCTTGGATGAGGCAGCCTGCCTCCTCTGGGTCCTAAGAGTGAGGAGATGTGTGTGCACAGGAGAGCATCTGTGTGGCCTCTTGTGTACACGTCCACATATTCACTATCTTTCAGTAAAAATTCATTGAGTTTTAGTGTAATGCCAGGTACTAAAGTGGGGATATTAGAGTGAGCAGTTGGAGGTAGACTTCTTGGAAAAGGAGGGGAATAAGAGAGGATAATAAGGGGAGAATAGTAGAAATACATTATGTTTGTATGAAATTGAAAGAAGAATTTTATTATTTATTTATTTATTTATTTATTTGAGACAGAGTTTCTCTGTGTAGCCCTGGCTGTCTTGGAACTCACTCTGTAGACCAGGCTGACCTCAAACTCAGAGATCTACCTGCCCCTGCTTCCCAAGTGCTAGGATTAAGGCCTGTCCTGCCACACTCAGCTCTTAAATCTTAAACTGATTTTTAAAGGGCTACATAGTAAGACTTCTGTCTCAAAAAAAAAAGGGGGGGGGCAGGCGGTGGTGGCGCACGCCTTTAATCCCAGCACTAGGGAGGCAGAGGCAGGCGGATCTCTGTGAGTTCAAAGCCAGCCTGGTCTACGTAGCAAGATCCAGGACAGGCACCAAAACTACACAGAGAAACCCTGTCTCAAAAAAACAAAAACAAAAACAAGTAAGCTAAAAAACAACTTTTGTCTTCAAGATACCAAGCTTCTCCCTACATGTGTTTGTGTGTACATGTCTGAGAGTGAATATTTAGAAGCATTTTATATTATATTATATTAATAACATATGTTTGTACATACATATATTGCTTTGTGTAAGTATGGAATGTCTTGAAAAATAAAATAAAAATCATCAACAACAAAAAACCTAACAGGAGAAGTTTAGCAGAGGCCCTCTGATTCTCACAGGTAAGGTAAGAAGTTCTGAAAATCTTAGATTGACCAGAAGGTCCAAGAAAGGTGAGAGATGCACAAGCCAGGTATGTGGGGAACACCCAGAACACCCAAGATCTATCCAAGAAACAGAGGCTGCGGAGCCAAGATCCTGAACCCAGAAATCCCAGCTAAGAATCAACCCCAATCCATGCCATGCCATACCATGCCATGCCATGCCATGCCATCCCCAGCCCAGCCCAGCCTCAGCCCAGCCCAGCCCAGCC